CTTTGGGGTTTATTTTCATTGGTACTTTGGCTCTTTCCTCCCAGGGAAGCTGCTCAGGGCTGGGGGGCACGGGCAGCTTTTGGGGTGCTCAGAGCCGGGTCCTGCTCCCGAGCATCGCGGGGAGGGGGGGAGGAAGCTGTTTGCAGGGGAATGCCCAGAGGTTTTGAAAACCCCGTCCTTGGCGATTTGCATATTTCATGCAAACACTTGCGAGGGTTGGAAGAGACTCTCTGCCCCGCCGGCCTTTGAAGCGCCTTGTGCTGCTGCCTGGGTGGGGGGGGGGTGTTCCCGGGGCTTGGGAACTGCCCGGCCCGCAGGGAACAGGGGGAGTCCGGCTGGGGAGTTTTTATAAAGCTGAACAAACTCGCTGCCCTGGGCTTCGGGGCCAGGAAGCAAAGGGAGGTGAAGAACAGCGCTTTGCTTTTGCAGTGGAGGGAAGGAAGGCTGGAGGATGCCTGCTCAGAAACCGTCTCCTATTGTCAGTGCAGTTTGTAGCCCGAGAGGGATGTGGGAGCATTGATGGAGCTGATGGAGCTGCTTAGGCATCACCTTTTTCTCTTTTTCCTCTTTTCCCAGAAATCAGGGGAGCTGGTTGCTGTGAAGGTCTTTAACAATGCCAGCTACCTCCGGCCCCAGGAGGTCCAGATGAGAGAGTTTGAGATGCTGAGGAAGCTGAACCATAAAAACATTGTCAAACTATTTGCTGTGGAGGAGACAGTAAGTGGGACCTGAGCTCAGAAACCCGCTGTGCCAACAGGGCCAGTAACACAGGGGAGCTGGTCTGAGCTGTGGAGGAGGCCAGAGGTCCTGGGTTGTCTTCTCCTGGCTCCCTCCAGCTCCACACCAAGCCTCAGCCCAGCACTTCAAGCACTGGTGGCACCAGGCTGGAGCACAGACACATCCTGCTCTTGTCCCCTGGCCTGGCATGTGGCACAGCAGGGACATTCCCCAGTGCTGGTTTGTCCAACCCAGGCACCCACCAATGAAGGGAGGGGACTGGTCCAGCAGGGTGGTGAAGGCCACTAGCTGGGACACAGAGTCAGGCAGCAGTGCTGAGCACTTTGTGCAGCCAAGGCCTCACGGCTGGTCCCCACCACAGGGCAGCAGCAGGCAGAAGGTGCTGGTGATGGAGTACTGCTCCAGTGGCAGCTTGCTGAACGTGCTGGAGGACCCGGCCAACACCTTTGGGTTGGCAGAGTCCGAGTTCCTCATCGTGCTGCAGTGTGTGGGTGAGTGTGGGGTCCTGGGGTGGGCAGCTGCTGGTGCCCAGGCAGCAGGATGGGGACCTCATGGTGCTGGGGGGACCCTGCAGGCACCAGCCCTGGGCTATGGACGTGGGGTCCAGGCTGAGCAGCCCAAAGTTGCACCTCCCAACAGAAACCCAAGGGTTTCTCCTTGCTCAGGGAAGCAGCGATGGGAGAGCACAAGGGCAGGGCTCACCCGTCCTCTCCATTCTCCCAGTCCCCTTGGGATCAACCTAATACAACCAGCCCTGGGTCTTGTCCCCTCTCTGGCCTTTCTCCCACTCCTGCATGTACACAAAGCCACAAAGCTGCCTCCCCCCTTGTGCCCAGTGGCCGGGATGAACCATCTCCGCGAGAACAGCGTCGTGCACAGGGACATCAAGCCCGGCAACATCATGCGGCTGGTGGGGGAGGACGGGCAGAGTGTCTATAAACTGACAGATTTTGGGGCCGCCCGAGAACTGGATGATGATGAGAAGTTTGTGTCTGTCTATGGGACGGAGGAGTATCTGGTGAGTACAGCATGTCACCAGCCTGGTGGCCCTTGGGAGCCCTGGGGGAAGCTGGTCCCCATCCCTCCCTCCAACAGCCTGGGTGACTGAGAGAGAGCAGCAGTGACCTGGAGAGCCCCACGTTGCAGAGGTGGGGGGCTCAGCATCCTCAATGCAGAGTTTGGGGCACCGTTTTCCTTGGGAGGATCCAGCAGTATAAGAGGCCAAAGCCAGCAGGCAGCTCAGCCCCAGGGCTCGTGCTGTCCCTGGGCCAGGGTGGCAGTGCCAGTGTCTGCTCTGTCCCCCCAGCACCCGGACATGTACGAGCGCGCGGTGCTGCGCAAGCCGCAGCAGAAGGCGTACGGGGTCACCGTCGACCTCTGGAGCATTGGGGTCACCTTCTACCACGCTGCCACGGGCAGCCTGCCCTTCGTCCCCTTCGGGGGACCCCGCAGGAACAAGGAGATCATGTAGGTACCCCATCCAGCTGGGAGGGGAGGTGGGAGCGTGGCTGGTGGCCCTGGGAGCTGCAGGACAGCCTGGCTGTGTCTTGGTCTGGCAGCTCAGAGCTTAGTTCACTGCTCACCTGATCCCACAGAGCCTAGAGAGCCCTGAAGCGTAGCCTGGGGGTCATCCTCTGTCTCTGCAGCATGGAGAGGGAGACTGTGCCTTGTGTCAAAGGGTCTGTGCCCCATTGCCCCTCAAAGTGCATCCTCCTGACTCTGTGGCTAATGAGCTGGAAGAAGAGGCAGGGTTAATGCTTGAACACCTTTTACTGCTTTTTGAAGTATTTTCCTTTTGTATTTATTTTTGTTTTCTATGAATCATGTCTTTCCCAGCCCATCTGTGCTCTGCATTTCCCTCTCTGCTGATCCCGAGGGATGTGGTGTCCAGAGGTCAGGGGGCTCCTTTCACCTGCAACCAATTTCCTTTTGACAGGTACAAAATTACCACTGAGAAGCCTCCTGGAGCCATTGCAGGGGTCCAGAGGCAGGAGAACGGGAGCATCGAGTGGAGCTATGAGCTGCCTGTCACCTGCCAGCTCTCAGAGTGAGTGTCCCTGCTGGGCTGTGGGTCTCCTGTCCCAGCACCACGGCTGGAGAGGGCAGCCCAGCCCAGACAGGGTGGGAGGCTGGGAGCAGGCAGATGAGCTGATACAGCCCTTGGAGCAGGTCTTTCTGTACAGCTGGGAAAAAGAGGTGTGAGACAGGGAAGTGGCTCTGGTGGTTCAGGAGCTCAGCTGCAGGAGAGGCTGCACCTCCCCTCGTCTCTGCAGGCACCACGGTTATGACTCAGGCTTGTGTCTGTCTGTGCAACCATCTTGTGCTGCTGCTGCAGGGGGCTGAAGGACCAGCTGATACCCATTTTGGCCAACATCCTGGAGGTGGATCAGGAGAAATGCTGGGGCTTCGACCAGTTTTTTGCAGAAACCAATGACATTTTGCACAGGATGGTGGTTGATGTCTTCTCCCTGCAGCAGGCTTCCTTGCATCGCGTCTACATCCACTCCTACAACACGTAAGAATACCAAGGCTGTGCTAAAAGCAAATTTGGGAATTGGGCTCATCAGCCTCAGCCCTTCATTTCAGTAAATGCAGCTGGGGAAGCACCTGTTCCCTCTGCACTCCAATTGAACCAGGTTAAAAAGAATCAGGTTCAAACTGGACTTTGCTGGGGAATGCACTCCCTGGGAGGCATCAGCTCCTGGTGTGGCTCACAGAGAACTCTAGGGATGTTGTTTGAGGGGCCCCACTGGACCCAGAGGGATGTTTTGCAAGGAGAAGAGGGTAGCAGGCTGTGAAAGTATTGGAAGCCTGAACGCTCACCTCATTGCTTATCCCCCACCCTTTTGTTTCTTTCTCATTGCAGTAGCACCAAGTTTTTAGAGGCTGTCTTCAAACAGACAAATATAGTCCCTCACCATCAAGAATATTTTTTTGAAGGTCATCTCTATGAGTTGGATCCTAATTTACAAGCTCACAATTTCTGCAAAACCACAGAGCACAACCCTCTGACCTTGCTGAGCACTGCTGAGCAGCCAGAAGACGTGGTAGGAGTGAGATACAGAGACCGTGAGTACCTTTGGCCTGGAGGTGCAGCATGGAAGGGGGGGCAGATACCCTAGGAGAGACTTGCTTAAATCCTGACCCTAACAGACCCTGATGCACAGCAGGAGGTGGTGGGGTTGTGATGCTGGGGCATCAGGGGGTTTCAGGGTCAGTTTTCCCCTGCCCTGTGCTGTTGCTCCATGTCTGCTGCCAGTCCAGGCTCTGCAGGTGGTTTGTGCTAAACCTCCAGTGCCACAGCTGCTCCTGAAATCCTGAGTGGCAGTAGGGTTTTCTTAGGTATGTGTGAGACATCCCTGTGGGTCCACAACTGTGGAGTCAGAATCATTTTGGTTGGAAAAGACCAGAGCACTTCTATGAAGTGCTGGGAGAATTGGGGTGTTCAGCCTGGAGAAGAGAAGGCTCCAGGGAGACCTGAGAGCAGCTTCCAGTGCCTGAAGGGGCTCCAGGAAAGCAGCAGCAGCCAAATGTTTTTCAAGCAGTAAAGAAGGTAAAATAGAGCAACACTGTACTGGAGCCAGATTTTCCACACATTCAGTGAGCAGGGCCTGCACGTGCACTTTGCAGACATGTTGTTAAATGCCCCAGCCAGCAGAAGGATGGAGCAGAGGCACCGGGTACCGCAGGGCCTGGGTCAGGGTGAGGGTTGGCACTGCTGGGCAAGCAGGGGGTTGTGCTGGAGGGAAGGAGTGGTGGGGAGGAGGAAACACCAGGGGAAAGGAGGCAGCAAAGTGCAGTGACCTGTCATCCCAGCTGCAATAGTTGCAAGGCCTCCATTTCAGCTCACCTGCAGGAAAGCTGGGATCGTTGCCTCGTGTCTTGGGCTGCATCCACAGGAGTGTGACCAGCAGGTCAAGAGGAGATTCTCCCTTTCTGCTCCACTCTGGTGAAATGACCCTGCAGTCCTGTGTCCAGCTCTGGGGTTCCCAACACAAGGACATGGAGCTGCTGGAGTGAGTCCAGAAGAGTCCACAGAGATGATCCAAGGGCTGGAGCAGCTCTGCTCTGGAGCCAGGCTGGGAGAATTGGGGTGTTCAGCCTGGAGAAGAGAAGGCTCCAGGGAGACCTGAGAGCAGCTTCCAGTGCCTGAAGGGGCTCCAGGAAAGCTGGGGAGGGACTTGGGACAAGGGCAGGAATGGCTTTGAACCGGGAGAGGGGAGATTTAGATGGAAGATTTAGATGGGATCTTAGGTAAAGAAATTCTTTGGTGTGAGGGTGGTGAGAGCCTGGCCCAGGCTGCCCAGGGAAGCTGTGGCTGCCCCATCCCTGGCAGTGTTGAAGGCAGGTTGGATGGGGCTTGGAGCAGCCTGGGCTGGTGGGTTTCCCTGCCCATGCAGGGGGGTTGGGATTGGCTGATCTTTAAGGTCCCTTCCCACCCAAACCATTCCATGATCATCGAGTCCAACCACAACCACAGTTCAAGGGCTCCGGGCCGGCTCCCCAGAGCCCCGTGACCTCTGTCTGTCCTTCCAGCGGCCCTCAGCTTCCCAAAGCTTGTTCCCAAGGTGGACGTGTGGCCGACT